CGCGCGGCCCAGCGGGAGGGGGCCAGGGACGTGACGAGATGAGAAGAGGCGCCGTGAAATCTGGTGAAATATCGTGGCCCCCGCCATGATGTCCACCCCCCCCTAGTCCTCACCCCCCTCTTTGCCGCCCCCGACCAAAGATTGGTGTTGTACCCCGAGTTGTTTTTGCTACGGTCCTGGGGCCCGGCAATGGCCCAGAGGCGGAAAACTGCGAAAAAACACCGTCCTGAACTTTTCGGCACGCTACATGTCTGGGACCCCTAAAACATGCAGCCCGCCGCCCCCCTGAGGGGCAACGACAGGGTTGGACCAGCTCAGGAGGGGAACCATCGAGCTGGAATCGGCGATACATCGCCGATAGATCGGCGATAGGCCTCCGATAGCGAATCCGCAGGATCCTCGGCGGGGTGGGCCATCGGGCCCCTATCGGCGATGAGCGGGCGATCAGGGGTCAATGCGCCCACCCCAACACTGAGCCCATCCCAACCCACCCCAACGTTGCCGTTGTCTTCCGGGCGCAACTCGGCTCGCAGGCGGCCGTTCGGGACGATGCGGGAACCACCGGAACGCTCTCGGCGAGGCGCAGCCGCTGGAAGGCATCGCGCGAGGCTGGACAACCGCCTTGCACCTCACACCTCGAGGTCCCTCCTGCCTGGGGCGCCCCTGAGCCCATCCCCCCTCGCGTTGCCCCTGGGAGGGGGAGGAGGAGGAGGGGGAGGGAGGAGGAGGAGGAGGAGGAGGAGGAGAGGAGGAGGAGGAGGAGGAGGAGGAGGAGGAGGAGGAGGAGGGGGAGGAGGAGGAGGAGGGAGGAGGAGAACCCCCGTGCGGCGCCCCTGGCCCCCCCGCCCGCGCCGCGGCGCGGCCCGCGCGGGCGCGCGCGCCGGGGCCGTCGGTCGCCCAGGGCGGGGCCCAGAGCGGCTGGCTGCAACCGTAGACGAGCGCGTTCCACTACTCGCAAAGTGACCGCTCACAAATGGCCTGGATCCCCCGCGGAGGATCTGCGATTAGTTGCATCGAAGCAGGCGGCATGCGTTTGTTTTCTGACGTTTGCGAGCAGGCACTCTGCGAGCAGTGGAACGCGCTCGGTGAAACCAGGCGCGGGCCACCCCCCCGCGCGAGCGGGGGGCGCTCGCGCGCGGCTTCCTGGGCTGCTTCTGGCAGAGGAGCGAGTCGGGGGTTGCTGAAGGTGCCCCTGGCCCAGAGTGCCCCCAGCTCTTCGCTCCATCTTGGAGCCCGTGGGGCCCTCTGGGCCTCGTGAGGGGTTCGCTGGAGGCCGTGGGGGCCTCCTTGGAAATCCTGGGGCACTCCTAGCAACACCCGAACGAGAAGGGCCCAGACATTCCCAAACATCCGGCGTCTCGAAGAAGGTCGAGAGGAAGGTGTCTCACCGTGGGAGAAAAACAACGACTCGGGATGAAAAACTGGTCCCAGGGAAACGGTCGGGAGGTTGGGGAAAAATGGAGACACAAGATGTCTGGGTTCGGAGAACAAGCGATTCGGGATGCGAAACCGGTCCCGGGGAAGAGGTCGAGAGATCGGGGAAACATCGAGAAGCCGGATGTCTCTGGGTTCTCGCGTCTCGAACAATTGAAGACGGGGGTTTGTCTTCAGTTCTCGGCTGGTCCACCACAGGGCCGTGGAGCGGAGATCGTGTGCCAAAGCGGCCTCCCATGGGAGCGATGTTTGCACACCACCACCTCACAAACAAGCTGGTCGGGCACAAGGTACGCGCGCGGGAGCGATAAAAACCCGTTGTTTATCCTTCGCGAGGGCAGGCCCGCGACCCCTCCCCCTGTTGGTCACGGCACGATTCGCGCTGCTGCCGTCTGGGAATGAGCCACTCTCTTCAGCACACCCAGACCGCGCCAGCGCGGATCGTGACGCGACCAGTGCCCCCTCCCCAACCCGCGGCCACGCCCGCGATCGCCAGAGGATAGAAAAACTGCCTCTAACCACAAATTGGCCCCCGAGGTGAAGAACGGGCCTCTGTCGGGGATGGACAGAACCCCCTTTAGTAAAACGTGGTTTAGTGAAAACGACCTGAGGCCCAAACCTGGCGGGCGCAAGCCTGGAAAAGAACGGCCGCGGCGAACTCTCGAGAACCGAAAACGGACAATTCACTAATCGACGTGTCACTATTGGGGGTTCTGTCCGCCCCCGACTCTGGGAGGTCCAGACAGCGCAGGGGCTCGCGGCGCGGATCCCGCAAGAGGCGCAAGGAGCTCTCCGATGGGGAGAGGCGGCCCCGCCAGAAGTCGAAGTTCCTTTGCCACCTCCAGAGGAGCTGGGGCCCGAGAAAGACCCAGGAAAGCCAGCAGACGAGATGTTACAGAGGAGGCATGCCCATAGCCTCGCGGGGGCCCAGGAGATCTGGGAGAACTTTGGGAAGAGGCTTTGACCGCGACAGGTCTCTAGAACCGCCCCCAATTGCTGGAGACTGCTCATCTTCTCGGCGACCGTATCGACGGAATGGGACCCCACCGGCAGTGGAACAGAACCCTTCTCTCCGCGGCATCCGCCGCACAGCGACGACGACGCCGACGACGACGACGAGGACGACGAGGATTACGACTGCGATGAGGGACGACGACGGCGAGGATTACGACGACGAGGACGACGAGGACTACGACGATGCTTTGAGGGAACCTCGACGAGAGGCTGTCAGGGAGCCTCGACGATCCCCGAGGTGGCGTCGCGAGAGGTAAAAGGACGTCGGAGGCAGGGCGGGGCCCGCGGGCCCGCGGGCCCTGTCCCTCGAGGAGCCACCCCCCCGCGTCTGCCGGGCAAGGTCGGACGGTTAAGGGGGAGGAGGAGGAGGAGGAGGAGGAGGAGGAGGAGGAGGAGGAGGAGGAGGAGGAGGAGAGGAGGAGGAGGAGGAGGAGGAGGAGGAGGTGGAGGAGGAGGAGGGGGGAGGAGGAGGAGGAGGAGGGGAGGAGGAGGAGGTGAGGAGGAGGAGGAGGAGGAGGAGGTGCCCCTTCTGGACCACCACGGCGGCTGGCACACGAGGACCACCTCCCTCGAGCATGGGGTCTTCCCCTGGCGGCGGGATCCGCCGCCACCACCGCCGGCGGCGTCATCGGCGGTCCGCTGTGACGCCCGCGCGAGCTGAGCTGCTGAGCTCTCCTCTCCTCCTCCTCCTCCTCCTCCTCCTCCTCCTCCTCCTCCTCCTTTCCTCCTCTATGCAAGTCCGGCTGCGCCCTGTTCTGACTGGGCTCGAAGATGCCACAAGGAAAGAAGAGGGGGGTGGAGTGGCGAGTCACGAGGCGAGGGAGGGACGAGGACGATGAAGGGGCCCAGGGCCACACTAATACATAGACACAGATGCACGGACTCCCGATACCTCACATGGTTCCCGGGGAATCGCCGATTACAGTCGGGGCCCTGAAGAAGGAATCCTTTTCGTTGGGGAGGGGCTCCGCGTTCCTGAAGTGTTTCACAGCTTGCCTCAGGCTTTCCTTATGTCTTCGACAGGGAATCGAAGGTTAACTTATGGAACAAAAAGGGCCTCGTTCCTTATTTATGGTTCCTTAGGTCAACGCCCCAGACTGTACCTGTGCCCGTGCGTGATTGGCCAACTGAAACAGATCTGAACCGAATCACTCACACATAGGGCCAGCGCAAGGCTCCCTCCGCGACCAGATCACGGGACTGAGCCCAGAGGAGTCCGACACAGGACGAGCGAAGAGAATGTCCCAGGGACACTGTGCAGATTGAACAGAAATACAGTCGGCGTGGTACCATAAGGAGCGATGATGACGGAGGAACGAGGGGGCGTTTCTGGCAACGGCTAATTCGCCTTGGTCGCGAACCGGCTCCCCGACCCAGATCTGAGGCGCGGGCCGCAAACCAGAACCCCTCCTGAGCCCTCGGTGGTCCTTTCAGCGGCTTGTTGCCTGTGTTGGCGGCGCGCAGAGGGGGGTAGGGGGAGGGGGGAAGGCTTCTTAGAAGCACCCCCGCTTCTTAGAAGGTGCGGGCCTTCTCTGTAGATGTAAGGCCGGCGCCTTCTAAGAAGCAGCCTCCTTCGAAGAAGCCTTCCCCCCTCCCCCTACCCCCTTCTGCTCGCAGCCGACTGTGGAAACCCCTTCAGTGCAAGCGCCTCCAATTCGGGGGATCGAGCCGCCCCGCCACGAACCGGGGGCGAGGCGGGTCCGCCGGCGACGGCCCTGCGCCCGAACCTGCCAGCGCGTCTGCTGCACACACTGTTTCCGGTCTGCGGGTCGGGAGCGGGCCCCCTCCGGTCAGGAGCTGGACGGGACGCGGGCAGCCCTCATTGGGGAGACGGGGCGCGGGCGGGCCATCCGCTGCACACACACACACATACACACACACACACACACACACACACACACACACACACACACACGCACACGCGCACACGCACACGCACACGCACACGCACACGCACACGCACACACACACACACACACACACACACACACACACACACACACACACACACACACACACACACACACACACACACACACACACACACACACTGCGCCGCCGCGTTACGACGGGCTCTCCGGCACGAGCAGCGTCATCGGTGTGTCTTCCTCCTCTGGCCCCTTCCCCTCTCGATGGACAACACATGACATGAGCATGAACCTCCGCGCGGACCCCCGAATGTGCATATGTATGCCATTTGTTGTTTCTCGATCCTGCCCCCTCATCGTCCTGCTCCCCGTCCTCGCCCTCGTCCTCCTCCTCCTCCTCCTCCTCCTCCTCCTCCTCCTCTTCCTCCAGCCCCTCCTCTTTTGGGAAACGAAGAGGCACCGATACTGCTACTCCCCGAACCTCTCCCGGGGTGCGTTCTGACCAGGATTTCGAGGCGAATCCAGCGGTGGCGACGAGGGCCTCCCAGGAGGCCCAAACAGGGGAAAACGAGGCAACTGTAGTGGTATCGGTACCTTTTCCTCCTCCTCCTCCTCCTCCTCCTCCTCCTCCTCCTCCACATCCTCCTCTCCCCCCTCCTGCCCCCTCGCCCCCCCCCTCCCCGCCCCCCGTCCAGCGAGGCGTCCAGCGCCGCCGCGCGCAGCTCCTCCCCGCGCTCCGCGGCCTCCGGCCCCGGCGGCCCCTCGCGGGGGCCGAAGGCCTGAGGCGCGCGCGGCGCGCGCCGCGCCAGGGGGGGGGGGGGGCCTCGGGGGCCCCAGACCCGCCGTCGTGAAATCGGCTCCGCCTTCTCGCCCTCGCGGGGCCCCTGCCCGGCCTCGAGGCCGTCAGAACACGGGCCCGCGGCCGAGCAGCTGGCCGCGGGGAAGAGAAGCGGTCGAGAGATCGGGGAGGAGGAGGAGGAGGAGGAGGAGGAGGAGGAGGAGGAGGAGGAGGAGGAGGAGGAGGAGGAGGAGGCGGAGGCGGAGGAGGAAGAGGAGGAGGAGGCCGTGCCTCGAAGAGCTCCAGACCCCAGGGCCGCCCGGGGCCCTCCGGGGCCCACGGAGCGCCTCGGGGGCGCCTCCTTGGGGGAGCCCCCGAGACGCTCGTGGGCCCACATGGGGGGGGCCTTCCCCGGGAGGCAGCGGTCCTGGCGCGCAGCCGGCGCGGAGGGGCATCGGCCCCTGCTCCCTGCTGCGTCGAGCGGCTTTTGGACTGAGCATCGAGGCTCAGAGCAGCCTACAGAGGTCTTCAGTAGACCGAGCGATCAGGCATGGCCGAAGTCGTCAGTCTGCAACCTCGAGGACGCCGAGATCGGTTCAGCATTCGAGCCAGATCCAGAACTCCAGGGGCCCGCTGCGAGGGTCCGCCGCCAAAGCATGGATCCATACTCTGTCGTCGTGCCGATTACCCATGGGCGCTGAATGTGGAAGGAAGGGTGCCCTGCCCTGTGCTGTCCCCTCCCTAACCTCCCCACCACGACTTCGGCCACGATCACTGAGGGCTCCCACCCGCGCTGGCACGACAGCCGGTCGCGCGCTGCCGGGAGGAGCGCCGAATAGAGAGAACGAGGGGGGGGCCTTCCGGCCACGGCTGGCCTCCGCCCCGGACGGGCCCCCCGCGGCCCCGCTCGGAGGAGCAGCCCGAACAGCAGAGCCCTTCCCGAACTCGGAGCGCTCCCCCCTGCAGGCTAAAAAACAAACGACCCCACCCCACCTACCCTGACCTTCCAGAGAGCTAGTTTTTAGCACTGGAAGCCTAAAAACCTAACAAACGAGACGAAACAACCTAAAACCAAGACGTAAAATAGCTCTGGGATAGGTTTTTACGTCGGGTGCTATTTTTTAGCCCTCCTGGAAGGTCAGGGTACGGCCCTCCATGTTGCGCTACGTCCCATCGGGGGCCGTAGCGTATACCATGCAAAAACCCACGCCAAATGTCCAGGTATACGTTACGGCCCGTGGGGCCGTGGGTGGGGTGGTGTCGTTTGTTTTCTGTTCCACTATGCATCCCGGGGGCGCGCAAACATGGATCAGCGATCCAAGGATTTGGCGCGCACCCTCCCCAAAATGCGGCAGGTGCCGCCTCGTCCGGCGGCGGAGATCCGCGATTTCCAATGGAAACGGGGCCCGTCGCTAATCCACGCCCCCTTGATCCATGTTGGCGATCGCCTGAGTTTCAGCACCCTGACTGTAAACCGCCTCGGAGCTGTTCCCCGAGATTCCGAGCACATCTGCCCGCGGGAAGGTACCGATGCCTGCCGATCCCTGGGGAGCAGGGCAGACTGTGCGGGGGGCCTTCCCAAGGCCAAGAAAGGCTCCAAAATATTCAACGAACGAACAAATATAGATCCTCGAGCCCATCTGGACACAACAAAAAACAAACAATCGCGGAAGCATGCACTTTCGGAGGTCGCGAGGACCTCTCGGGCCGGCGCTAGAAGCCCCAATCCCCTGGCGCGCTAAGGGCGGCGCCCAGCGCCTGGTCGAGAGAGCTGCAGCATCGCTGATGCACCCCTGATGTGGCTTCCTCGACCCCTGCAGCACGATCCTTGGGCTCCTGAAGAGATGCCGCTTCTCTTCGTCCTTCTTCATCCCCCTAGCCTGATCAGCCAGCGCAGAGTCTCACTCGCGTCTGCCTGCGACTGATTAGGCTTGATGAATTAGCCTAGTTATCGCCGGACTGCGCATGGCTTGCGAATGTGAACGAGTACTGCAGCATCGCATTCCGTTGAAGTTGGAGGGGCTCGAAGTAGACACCGAGTCTGATGAGGGGCTCGGCGTAATCATGTTTGCATGCGCTCCAGCTTCCCACCCTGAGAGAGGCGCTGCAGCGTCTACACACTCCTTCTCCGAACTCATTACCTCTTCACCGACCAAAAGACGAGGTGTGTACGTCGAGCACCTCCGAACGAAGGTGGAGGGCTGGAAAGAAGGGCACGGAACTCTCGATCCTGAAAGCTGGAGGGAGGTCAGGGGCAACGCTAGGGGGAGACCAGCTCTCAAGAGGAGAGACGTCGACATGCCATCGGCGAAACACCGCCGATAGAGCGGCGACAGGAGCCCGGCAGCGAATCTGCACGCTCCCAGGCGGGGCGCGCTACCGGGCCCCTATCGGCGATGAAGGGGCCAATGGGGGTCAATGCATCCCCCTCCCACTGAGCCCACCTTTCCCCCCTTACGTTGCCCCTGTCTTTCAGGTCGTGACTCGGCTCTCTGGTGGCCGTCCGGAACGTTCTGGGCACCCCCGGAACGCTCTCGGCGAGGCGCAGCCGCTGGAAGGCATCGCGAGGCTGGAAAACTGCCGAGAAGTTACAAAAACGCACGAAAACCTTCAACCTCAAACCTCGAGGTGGGCGTTCTCTTATTCGGCGTCTCGACATTGGGCGGAAGGGGGGGGTATGGCTCCGGACCTCTGCTTAGTACGACTGTTTGCAGCAGTGCGTCCTTGGAGGAGGCTCCACCTGCCTGAAACAGGCGCCAAAAACAGCCGAGATCTACTCCGGGGAGGGGGGGTGGAAGGGGGGGTGCGAGGGCCCGCGCCGATCGGCAAAAAAACAATGAATAAGAAAACGATCACGAGGCCCCTCCTGTCTGGGGCGTCCCACCGGAGGGGCCCGCGGCGCCTGCAGGCAGAGGTCGCAGATGTCCCAGATCTGGTCCTCTCGGGAGGTCGGGGGGGGGGGGGAAACCAAGAGTACCGACACCGCTCGGGGACCTTCTGACCCGGGTCAATACAAGCCCGGGTCAGCCGGGCCTTGCAAGATCCTGCAAGATCCTGCAAGATCCTGCATGATCCTGCAGGATCCTGCACCCAAGCCCGGGCCAATGCGCCCCTGGCCCTGCAAGACCCTGCAAGATCTGGCGCTCTGGCTGAGCCCCGAACCGCTACTCCCTGGACCTCTCCCGGGGTGCGTTGTGACTGGGATTTCGAGGCGAATCCAGCCGTGGTGACGAGGGGCCCAAAAAGGCGAAAAACAACGGAGGCAACGACATCGGTACCTTTTCCTCCTCAGACTCGGCGGCGAGCGAGGGGGGGAAGTGAAAGCAAAAAGGCCTCCTCAGAAGGCGGCGGGGCTTCTCAGAAGCCCTTGCACCTCCTGAGAAGTTTTTTCTTCGTCCTCACCCTGACCTTCCAGGAGGGCTAAAAAATAGCACCCGACGTAAAAACCGATCCCAGAGCTATTTTACGTCTTGGTTTTAGGCTGTTTCGTCTCGTTTTTTAGGTTTTTAGGTTTCCAGTGCTAAAAACTAGCTCTCTGGAAGGTCAGGGTCAGAACAGAAAACCTCTCAGAAAGACCGGGGGACTCCCGATAGCCTTCTGAGACGGCCCGCCCCCCCTCGCTTCCCCCCCCATGGGCTCGCCGCCGACGCTCCTCCTCTGGCTTGCGCCGCCCGCCCGATCCTCCCCCAGGTCCCTCGCGGGCGCCGCGACGGCCCGCGCGCCGGCGTCCCTCTCCGGGCCGTCCCGGGGCCTCCTGGCGAAGACGTCGTAGATGGTGTTCCCGCCCGCCTCCTCGTGGGCGGGGCGCGCACAGCGGGGCGAGGGCAGGCTTCGAGGGGGGGGATCGACTGCAGAACCGGCTTGCCCCGGAACTGCTGCTTTCTTCGCCGAACCCACGAACAAAGACACAGACGGCTCGCAGCCCTCGGCGAACGTTCTAGGCACATATACCGTGGAGTCGACGAGGATCTCAAGTTCAGGGTCACACACATACTTCCGCAGTCGATCCCCCAATCGTGGGCGGAGCGCGCACGGCAGGGCGAGGGCAGGCGCAGCGACGAGCAGGGAGGCAGGACGAAGCCAGGAGAACAGAATAGGGGCACGACGTAGCGACGAGAGGGGAGAGAGGCAGAGAGGGGAGCGAGGATAAAAGGATAAAAGGATAGAGGCAGAGAGAGGATGAGGATAGTTAAAAGCGGGCCTTCCGCCCCAGGAGGCCCCCCCAAAAAAGGCCTCAGCAGGCCCCGAAGCGGCCCCGAGACGGCCTCCAAAAGAGGCCGCCTCGAACCTGCCGCCAAGCGGCCCCCGAGGGGCAGCCACGGGGGCCCTCGGTGGAGCTCCCTATGGGGCCACGAAACGTGTGAGGGGTGTGCCGAAATGGGTGCGGTGCCGCCATGCGAACGCAGCCACCGGGGCCCCCGGTGGAGCTCCCTATGGGGCCACGAAACGTGTGATGGGTGTGCCGAAATGTGCGCGGTGCCGCCATGCGAACGCAGCCACTGGGGCCCTCCCACGAGATCCCAACAAGCATCCAATAGGTTTCGTGCCCACACCCCGAGCAAGGTGGCGGGATGGGCCGAAGGCCATTCGGTCCGCCGACCCCCTGCTGGCTTGGCACAGGGGTGCCTGGCGTGCTGAATCCTATCGCTCTTGGTGTTGGTCCTTTTTCCAAACTCTCCCCCGGGGCTCCGGCCGGTCCTGCGGGCCACCCGAAAGGCGCCCGATTCTCAAACAAAAACCCAAGACGGCTCCAGATGGCTTTCAAGACCGCCAAGATGGCCCAAGCTGGCCTCCAAGATTCCTCCAAGATGGCCTCCAAGAGATGGCTACGAACAATGGCCCCAAGATGCCTCCAAGACGGCCCAAGATGCCTCCAAGGCGGCCTAACATAGCCTCCAGATGGCCCAAGGCGGCCCAAGAGGCCTTCAAGACGCCTCCATGACGGTCGAAGAGGCCTCCAAGAGGTACTCCAGGAAGGCTCGAAGAAGCCAACATTATTGATGTTCCTCTGGTTTATGAAGGTTTTCGGATTCTGCGGTTCTTCGACTTTCCGACGGCCCAAGATGGCCCAAGAGGTTGCCCCAAGATCGCCCAAGAGGCCTCCAAGATGGCCCTATGACGGGCCAAAAGGCCCCCAAGACGGCCCCAAGAGTGCCCCAAGACGGCCCAAGAAGCCTCCAAGATGCCCTAGATGGTCTCCAAGCCAGCCCTGAAGCGCCCCACGAGGGTCCCAAGTCGGCCCAGAGAGGCCTCAAAGACGGCTTCCGAGAGCGTCAGACATGCCAGGAGGCCACCAAAACGGCCTAACATAGCCTCAAGTTGGCCCAAGACGGCCCAAGAGGCCTCCAAGACGCATCCAGGACGGTCGAAGAGGCCTCCAAGAGGTACTCCAGGAAGGCTCGAAGAGGCCAAAATTAATGATTTGTCATAGGTTTCTGGAAGTTTCTGGCTTCTGCGGTTCTTCGGCTTTCCGACGGCCCCAGACGGCCAAAGAGCCCCGATCGCCCCAAGATCGCCCAAGAGGCCTCCAAGATAGCCCCGGAAAGGCCCAAGAAGCTCCCAAGACGGCCCCAAAAGGGCCCCTAAGATGGCCCAAGAGGCCTCCAAGGCGCCCTAGATGGGCGGCCCTGGAGCACTCCAAGATAGCCCACAGTCGGCCAAGAGAGGCCCCCAAAACGGCTTCCGACGGGCCAGGAATACCCTAAGACGGCCAATTAGCCTGGCGAAGAACCCAACCATATGCAGTTGTGAGTACCGCAGTTGTGAATCTAGTCCTCGGTGGAGCTCCCTATGGGGCCACGAACTGTGTGAGGGGCCTGCCACAGTGGTGGTGGTGGGGAACCGCATGCGGGCACCCCCACTGGGGCCTTCGGTGGAGCTCCCTATGGGGCCACGAAACGCTGCCCTGGGTGGGGGAACCGCATGCGAGCACCCCCACTGGGGCCTACGGTGGAGCTCCCTGTGGGGCCACGACACGCTGCCCTGGGTGGGGGAACGGGCAAACCCACTGGGGCCTTCGGTGGAGCTCCTTCTGGTGCCAAGAAACGCTGCCCTGGGTGGGGGAACCGCATGCGGGCACCCCCACTGGGGCCTGCGGTGGAGCTCCCTATGGGGCCACGAAGCGTTTTTTGGATGGGGGAACCGCATGCGGGCACCCCCACTGGGACCTTCGGTGGAGCTCCCATGGGGCTACGAAACGCTGCGCTGGGTGGGGGAACCGCATGCGGGCACCCCCACTGGGGCCTACGGTGGAGCTCCTTATTTGGCCACGAAGCGCTGCCCTGGATGGGGGAACCGCATGCGGGCACCCCCACTGGGGCCTTCGCTCCCCATGGGGCCACGGAACGCTGCCCTGGGTGGGGGAACCGCATGCGGGCACCCCCAGTGGGGCCTGCGGTGGAACTTCCTATGGAGCTACGAAACGCTGCGCTGGGTGGGGGAACCGCATGCGGGCACCCCCACTGGGGCCTACGGTGGAGCTCCCTGTGGGGCCACGAAACGCTGCCCTGGGCGCTGGAACCGCATGCGGGCACTCCCACTAGGGCCGTCGGTGGAGCTCGCCATGGGGCCACGAAGCGCTTCCCTGGGTGGGGGAACCGCATGCGGGCACCCCCAGTGGGGCCTGCGGTGGAACTTCCTATGGAGCTACGAAACGCTGCGCTGGGTGGGGGAACCGCATGCGGGCACCCCCACTGGGGCCTACGGTGGAGCTCCTTATTTGGCCACGAAGCGCTGCCCTGGGTGGGGGAACCGCATGCGGGCACCCCCACTGGGACCTTCGGTGGAGCTCCCCATGGGGCCACGGAACGCTGCCCTGGGTGGGGGAACCGCATGCGGGCACCCCCACTGGGGCCTTCGGTGGAGCTCCCTGGCTACAAAACGAAGCAAGGAGGGGGAGGAAGGAGGAGGGGGGATGGGGAGGAGGGGGGAGGGGGAGGAGGAGGAGGGAGGAAGGAGGTGGGACGCGGGGCGCTGTCTCTTCAAAACGATGACCCAACACCACAGAATGGTGGGGAGAAATGCCTCCGAGAAGTCCCCAAAGGCCTCGAAGAGGCCCAAGAGGGCCCCCAAGATGCCTTCAAGAGGCCCCCAGGAAGCTCCCAGAGGCTCCCCCAAGATGCCCCCTCCTCATGCTCCTGATCTTCCACGCCATCCTCCCCCAAGTGTTCCCCGAAGGGCTTCTACAACTGCTGGGGGAACACATGGTCCGATAGCTTGGCAGAACTCTTGCCACATCGATCGGCCACATGGGCGATTCCAAAAGGCAGGAAGCGGCGTTGATTCGCCGCAGGCGTCTTCGAAAAATCGAAATTCTCTGAGATCCAGAGGCTCTGGAGGATGTCTCGGGCGCCGCGACATTCTCTGAGCGGTCCGGTACGCTCTGGAACGGAGTTATCCTCGTCCCAGTCCCGCCCGATGACTGGCTGCCAGACCACCCCAGCTCGACCCGACGTCTCCCATTTCGGGCTGAGGGGAAGGCCGGGTTCCGTGTGTATGCGCGTTTTTGGGCAATGTTCTGAGACGGCCCCCCACTGGAAATGGAGGATACATTGGAGCCTTCGGGTTGGGTTGGGGTGGTTTGGTGGGTAATGATGTTACTCGGGCGTTGGCGGGACTGGGCTTAGTGGCACGTGGTTTAGTGATGTGTACCTGAGGTGGCGACATCCAGACCCTACCCCCACCCACCGTCGATCTCTCTAAGCCGATGGGAGGCGGGGGGTAGGGTTCCGGCCTTCGCCAGCCACGTGCTCGGCCCATTCCGAACCCTAACCCCGCCGCCCATCGAGTTACCTGAGTCGTTGATCGGCGAAGGTAGGGTTCGCCGCCAGTCTTACGTACCGTCGGCTCCTTTTTTCCACAAGTTAAACTTCGACTTCCCATGGGAAACCTCAGGAAAACCGAAGGCAAACTGCAGAACAATCAAGGAACACCGAGCCCCTCCCCAACGAAAAGGGCTCCTTCTTCAGGGCCCCGACTGTAGGGTTCGCCGCCAGTCTTACGTACGATGGCACAGCGGGCACAGCGGCCATACGCGGTGGCTCACGCGGGCCGCCAACGCGCGGCGCTCCCACACGCTGAGAACGAGGGCGCCCGCGCGACATCTCACACGGGCAGCTTGCACGCGAAGGTCCGTCCCGTCGACCCCGCTTTTCTGCGACGCTCGGGGGCTGACTGATCCTACCGTCGGGGCGTTGACGTAAGGAACCACGAATAAGGAACGAGGCCCCTATTTTCCATCAGCTAACCTTCGATTTCCTGTCGAAAACCTAAGGAAAGCCTGAGGCAAGCTGCGAAACACTTAAGGAACACGGAGCCCCTCCCCAATGAAAAGGGTTCCTTCCTCAGGGCCCCGGCTGTACCTTTTGGAGGCGGGTATGAAAGCATGCCAAGGCTTGCGGATGGACCCGGTCTCCTCATTCCTGGGCGCAGTGCAGTGCCCCTTTGAGCTTCGGAGCTTCGGCTGGTTTCACCTTGTGCTGCTCGCTTGAAGCGTGGAGTGTGTCACGCATATGCCGCCTGGTGCTACGTTCAGGCCGGGCCTGTCCCCCTCTACAGTGGGATTCTGGGCGAAACGTCGAAAACAGTAAAAGCGTGCTCCAAAATGTTCCAAATAGTTTTAAGAAAAAGTCGTCCCCAGGCTATGTTTTTACTTGGGCGTGGCTTAATGGGGGGGTCGCAAGTGGGGGGGTCAGAAAGGGTCCCCTTTCGTGCCCCTTTCCGGCCCCTCCAGAGCCCCAGGGGGCTCGTTTAGGTACCATTTGGGTACCTTTTCGGACCACACTCGCCGACCCCCCATTTACGATCCCCCCATTACGCAGCGCCCAATTTACTATTCTTGAACGTTCCCCCGGTGGAGGGACAGGCCCGACGCAATGCTGCGCCCGAAGGTCCGCTGAGGACAGACCCGGACGGGGCTGGATCGGGCAGGCCCCCCGAGAGCCGGCGGGTCCCGGAGGCTGCATCGCGGGGGCGCCGCGGCCGCTGCAGAGAACGCTCCGAGAGCATCCCGGAGCGCCCCGGATCAACTCCTGCAGTCAGCCTTTTGTGAAGGGGCCCCAGGACACACAAATAAATACACACAAATAAAAAGATCCCCCATATTTTCCTGTATTTTCTGGGTTTCTGTCTTCCCCCCCACTTCCCATATTTTCCCATATTTTCTGGGGAATGGAGGATTAATTGTGTCTGTGTGTTTCTTTTCCTCCTGACTTTTGTAGGGGGCAAACAAACCTACCTCGCTTTTGGCCACCCTCGCTTCCAAGAGAAACCAAGCGATGCCAAACTGCGGCCCGTACTGGTCCAGGCCGCTTGACGAGGAGGCGCGTGGCATGACTTGGCTTTGCAAGCGAAAGCGGGGTAGGTAATTCACGCTCTGATTTTGATTGGGCAGGACACGCGAGAGGACACGAGGCCCTTCCGCGGGCCACGTCGCCATAGGAGTGGCAGAAGGCACGCGTCGCGAGGCAGCGGAGACACAGGGGTACCCTTGAGCTGGCAGGGTCGACCTGCGGATCCGGGCCGACTGTATCCTCGTCCGATCTGGCCCCTGCAGAGTGGTTGCACACATGGCACTTTCGCTCAAGCTCGGAACGTCGACCCCCCGTGGTCTCGACCCACTCCCTGTGCTCTGGTGTTCCATCCTGCGCCGTTGCCTGACGGCCCCGAGGCCCGGCAAGGGTCCACAGAGGCCGAAAATCCGCTGACGTGTCGTGGTTGTGGTCGTCGTGGTCGTCGTCGTGGTCGCCGTCGTCGTCGCCGTCGCCGTCGTCGTCGTCGTCGTCGTCTTCCTTCTGGATCGGCGGCACCGGCCGTAAGGCCTTCACAATTAAAAGAAGAAAAAGCCGCGTGAACATAAACTTCTGGCGCTCCGCGCGGATCTCTTGGATTCGCGCTCGATCCCCCTCCCTGGCGCGCGGAGCGCGCCAGAGGCGGCGCCGGAGGCGCCGCCGGGGGGCCCAGGCGCGGATCCAAGAAATCCGCGCGGAGCGCCAAAAGTTTTTGTTTCTGTGGTTTTCTTCTTCGCGCCGCATCGGCGATGTGCCAACGATGCCGCCAGGGGGGCCCAGGCGCGGATCCAAAAAAAAATCCGCGCGGAGCGCCAACAAATTATGTTCATGATGAGCCAATTTTCCACCACCACCACCATAAGTTGGAGGAGGAGGAGGAGGAGGAGGTGGAGGAGGAGGAGGACCCCCTCCCCCTCCAACTTATGGTGGTGGTGGTGGTGGAAAACAGGCCAATCGGTTCGCGCGGCTTGTTCTTCTTCGCGCAGCGGTGACAAAAAAGCGTCCGCGTGATTTTCGAGCGACAGGGAGCCGGCCGCCCCGCGCTGCCGAGGCAGCGCTCCGCCGACCCCACATCCCCCGACGGCCGGGCGCGTTGGGCCCCGCGGGCCGATTTTGCCCCCCCCCCCCCCCCCCCCCCCCGATGGGGATGCGGGCTGCTCCCTTCGGGCTTCGAGGGGCGCGCCCCCAGCTGGGGCGCGGTAAAACACTTGCCAGCTCCTCCTCCTCCTCCTCCTCCTCCTCCTCCTCCTCCTCCTCCTCCTCCTCGTGGTGGGGGTCTGGATGGGGATGGGGATGGGGCTGGGGCTGGGGGTCGGGAAGACGATGCTGAGCTGCCGCCCCGTGCGCCGCCCGTCCTCGGTGTCCATGCCGTCGTCGCCGGCGTCTCCGGGGCCGTCGACGCTCGGGATGCCCAGCAGCTTGGCCACCTCTGCCCGCTCGGCGCCAGGGAAGAGCTCCGAGCCAGCCTCGGCCTCCTCGCCCTCGCCCTCGCCCTCGCCCTTCTTCTCCTTGGCCAGCCGGAAGGGCGTCTCCTCTCGGAGGGCATCTAATCAGCGACGACAGGGGCGGAACTTGGGGATGGAGGCCTGCTCGTCTTCGCGGTGCGGCCCACCTCCTCCCCCTTCTCCTCCTCAGAGCCTCCTCCTCCTCCTCCTTCTCCTCCTCCTCCTCCTCCTCCTCCTCCTCCTCGAGATGTCCTCCAATCCTACGGCCCGAAACTGCATGCTACCCAGCGTGGCCCATCAATGTGCGCAAGAGGGCATAACGACCTTACGCTGCGGCGTACGCGCACCGCCAGCGTGGCACGCTGCATCAGAAACGATGGCGCTCACGCGCGACCTCACGGGGGAAGCTTGCGCGCCAATGTCGGCGCAATCGGCACCACTTCTCCCGCCGCTCAACAGTACACCTGCACCGACGCTGGCTGGACCAGACCTGGGCCCAGAATCGTGTTGTTCGCCTCGTGCTCAAGGGCCCCATCCCAGAAATAATTACGAGCACCAAGAGCAGAAACAAAAACCGTGTCTGCCCGACACGATGGCGAAGTGTCGACCGAGTATCGCCTCCCAGGGCTTGACATGCGAAAGCCCTCCAGTTTGGGTGCTTTCCTGGCGCTCGAATTTCATTCTTGGTGGCCAGGGCTAAAGTAGGTTGAAACATCATAAATAAGCCCAGGATTGGTGTCTGCGCCATCCTCGCCTGGCCAGGAGAGGCGCATTCGCCGATCATTGGTGTACCCGTCGGCGGGAAGAAGCGGGTAGAAACCTGAAATAGGAAGGCTTGAAGGTAGATTGCGCTTCCACTCGCCCCCTGAAGAGGAGGGAAGAAAAGGAAACCAGTCGAACCTTAAAGTAACAAGGCACCTAAAGCAGATTGGCATCTGGGAATTCCCCAAAAAACTACTTTCAACGACCAGCGTGTACATCTGCACCGATCCTGGCTGGGCCAGTCCTGGGTCCAGGATCGGTGTCTGCGCCATCCTCGCCTGGCCAGGAGGGGCGCATTCGTGGGGGTGGGCCACGATCGGGGGGGTCCGGCACAGGAGGGGGACACCTCGGCCTGGAATCGGCGATGCATCGCCCATAGATCGGCGATGGGCCCCCGAGGGCGAGTCCGCGCGCTCCTGGGCAGGCTGGGGCCATCGGGCCCCCGTCGGCGACCAGCGGGCGAATGGGGCTCGATGCATCCCCAACTGCGCCCATCCCCCCCGATCCCTGACCCTGCATTCGCCGCCTCTGGGCGGAGGAGCCCGGCCAGGCCATCGGCCCCGCCGTGCCGGGGGAGGTCCAGGCTGAGACACCATTGAAGGGGCCCCAGAACACACAAATAAATACACACAAATAAAAAGATTCCCCATATTTTCCTATATTTTCTGGGTTTTTGTCTTCCCCCCCACTTCCCATATTTTCGCATATTTTCCTGGGTCGGGCATGTCCTCCTGCAAGCGGCTCTGGAAGAATAGCAAAAAATGGCCAAACCATGCCCAAAGATAATCAAACAGGGTCGAACAATCGTCTCCATGTGTTACTATGCTTGAATATTCCTCCTGTAGAAGGACATGCCCGACTTGACTCAGTCCCCAGACCGTTCCTGGCGCCCACGCCGACCCGTCCTCTCCGGCGCGGACCCAGCAGTGGCGACGGGAAGCCCCCAGGACAGGCCCCAGGGGACAGCAACACACACACACACAACCAATCAACAAAACACGCAAAATCGACGGGCGGGCCGCCACCGCTTCGTCGACGGCCCTCCTCCGAGCACGGCCAGCGGCTCGGACGAAAGGGGGCGGGGGGCAGTGAAGGGGGCGCGCGGCGCGGCCATGGAGGCGTGGACCACGCTGGCGCTGCCCCGCGGGGCCTCCGCGCCCGCGGGCGCCTCGCCCCGCTCGCGTCGCCGGGGCGGGCTGCTCCAGCGGCTGCTCCGTGGCCACGGGCCATCGGCTCCAAGGTGGGCCCAGAGACTGACTGCCTACCCACAGGACCCCAGACTGCCCCGACCACCGCAACCCAACCCGAAGACCCAAATTTCGGGCTGGGGAGGGGGTACGGGTTCCATCTGTGTGTTTCCCATGTTACCCGACGCCCCACACCCCTGTGGGAATGGAAGGCTAATTGGTGCCTTCGGGTTGGGTTGGGGTGGTTTGGCGGGCGGAGAGTAATTGTGACTCACCTCACGTTGCCGGCGATGCTGGCGCCTCCCAGAGGCAGGGAGGCGCCAATGCACCAGGGGAAGCGCCCCGAGGCAGGCCCGAAACCAGCTGCACGCAGCAGATTTCGACCGCCCCCTCTTTCCCTGTCCCCCCGCTCGTCATCTGGGAGCACCAAAAGCCACGCAGGGTCAAGAGCTTGCACATGGCAGGGGTTCGAGAGGTCCCAATCCACGTACGTAGCGATCAAAAACACGCCGTCGCAGACAGGGGGCCTCGTCCTCGCTCTCTTCCTCCCTCGCATCCTCCTCTTGTTTTACGTAAAACTCACCCAACGTTCCCCCGTGGCGCTCTTGAAATGTAGATAACAACTATAGGGTACGACTCGGATCACGGTTCGCCTGGCGGGCGCCGCGGACATGAAATAAGATAAGGTCGAGAATAATACAGGAGCTGGCGCCCGCCAGGTCCTCGAGGTTGGCACTCACCTTAGTAACCCCCCCTATCAGCAAATAAAACCAATCCCCCAATATGTTCATTGGCAGTGCCAGCTCGGATGGCAAGTAGCAGCAAAAAAAGAGACTGCAAAAAATGGTGCAGCGTCGGCGACAGTCTCGATGGCTGCGCCAAGCAAACTGCTGCTGCTAGATATACAGCATGTCTCCCTCGATGCTAAGACCCACCTCCTCCTCGAAGTAGGCCCTTCAAACCCCCATCATAGCAGCACTTGGGATGCCGCCCACGCTGTGTGGTCAAAGGGAGGCGCAGTATGCAGTGGAGGCCAGTCCACAAGAAACCTTCCACAAGAAATCCAACCCTGAGACCCCAGGACGCACATGGATTTTTGGTGTGGGAATGTCACGTTCTCCATCGCACAACCGTCGACACCCAAGAAACCCAGGGCACCCTCGAGGCAAGCAGGGTGTTTCTTGGCATGGACCCCCCCCTGTACGCCATTTGTAGGCTTGCGTCGTACGGTGGTCCCTCTGTGCCAGCAGCCGGCCCGCTCTCTTAGCCAGCAGTGGGTCCGCTCGTCGGTTCCCGGGGGAAGGGGCCACCGTCACCGTGTTCGTTTTGGTTGTGCCAGGAGTGGCAGGGGTAGGCATGTGAGAACGAGGTGAGAAGGTAGGTCGGGTATGCTGCAAAGGCTGGCCTGTGCAGCTGGCCTGGATTAAATGTATATATATATATATATATATATATAAAAAAAAAGAGTAAATGCCGCAGAGGCTGGCCTGTGCAGGCTGGCCGCTCTACTTGAGGTATGTTTGGCGAGCGTGCCCTTGCTGCGGGCCAGGGTTTTCTGGTTGACCCTGAGCCGTCGGATCTGAGTGAGGAGGGACCAGTATGGCCGATCGGAAGAATGAATGGAGTGCGGGCCAGAAAAAATAGAGAGGGCGGCTGACAAGTAATACTGCTGCAAAGAAGTATTCAGCTTGTACAACCTAACCGTGTACGTGGGCAAATTGCTCACGTGTTTGGCTGTGAGGACAGCCAACCTGTATGCACTTATGTACCTGCCCCTGGTGTGGGCAGGTGTTTTCTGGTTGACCCCAAACCGTCGCAAGCAAGAACAGTGTGAGGCAATCGGTATGTATGGCGCGTTGCCAAAATAGGACGCGTACTGCGACTGCTAGCAAACGGCATGGCCGTGAAATATTGCCCGAACGGTGGGTGAGGGGTTTTGGTTGACCCGTTCGTGGCTGAGAGAGGCGTACCACCAACCTGTCAAGAGAACGGGAGGGTGCAGGGTATAGGCGAGAAAAAGAAGACAGTGCGGCTGACAAATAGGACTGGTGCAGAAAAAAATACAGCTGGTGCACCACAACCGTGCACGTGGGCAGGTTGCTCACGTGTACGGTTGTGGGACAAAAAAACTAAGAACGCCAACCTGTATGCATTTCTTTATGTACCTGCCCATGTTGTGGGCAAAAATTTTGTGGTTGACCCCAAACCGTCGCAACAAATACAATGTGAGCCAAGCTGTATGTACGGCATGTTGCCAGGACGCATACTGTGACTGCTAGCAAGTGGCATGGCCGTAACATATTGTCCGAGCCGTGGGCAGGGAACTCTCTCCTCAACCTCCTCCTCCTCCTCTTCCTCCTCCTCCTCCTCCTCCTCCTCCTCGTCCCTCTCCTCATTCCCCTCCGCTCCCTCCCGCCCCGCCCCCCCCCCCGAGACATCCGGCGTCCGTTTTTTGTTCGAGACACGGGCCCCCGACCTCTGGACCCCTTTCCCAGGACCGGTGTGTGTATCCCGAGTCGTCTCTCGACGTCCCGAGGCCCAATGAGGGGCCCCGAGGGCCTGCGAGCAAACCTTCGTCTCGAGTGTTGCGCGACGCTGGACGTGTGGGTACCCAGAACCCCGACGTCATGATTGCTCTTAACGTCGACCCCCACAAGTCACGACCCATTCTCCAGGCACGGTTTTGCATCCTGAGTCGTCCTTGTTGGCAGTCATCCCGAGGCCTGGTAGGGGCCCCCAGAAGCCGAAGAGAGAGAAACTCCGTCCGTGGTGCCTCGTTCATGACCCGAGGGGGTCTGGGCTTCAAGAAGCCCGATGTCTGGGTATCCAACCCCTGTCCAGGAGAGCCCAGAATCGAATCGATGAGTTGGGTCGGCGATCGAAATGAATCGGATCGGCGCAAATCGCCAGCCGAGTCGGGATAAGTGGAATCGGCGGAAGTCCGCAGGCTACGATGCCTCCAATCATAAATCGGACCCCAAATCTGAATCCCAAGTCGAATCGAATCGGAATCGCAAGCCATCGCAATCGAATCGAATCGAAGCGACTCAAGGTTGGCGCCCTCCGAGCTCCTTCGCGAGCTCCTCCTGCGCCCTCCGGTCCTCCTCGTCGCGGTGCCGCTGCCCCAGGGCCCTGGGTAGAGAAGCCCCCCAGATGGGGTCTCGAAGCAGCGTCGGGGGCGCACAAGAGATGGGTTGCGGATCATCAATGGGCCGATATTCCACCACCACTACGGCAGGTTCGTGTCGTGCCGACCCCAGCGTTGGTTTTTGACACCGCGGGGATCGTTCAACCTTGAACGATCGGCCGTTTCCGCAACGTCCAATCGTTCAACATCGATCGATTCTGGGTCGCCAGCGGCGTTCAACCTTGAACGCCCACGCTGGGGTCGCCGCTGGTCGACACGACGCAAACCCACCGTACCTTAGGTAGGAGGGGGAGGAGGAGGACCTCCCTTCCTCCCCATCTTCCCTTTCCCCCCTCCTGGTCATGGTAGCAGTGGTGGAAAACTGGCCCATCAATCATGGCCCCAGCGTTACGTGCGCGGCCCAGGGGGGGCCAGGGGACGCATTGAAGTGAGGAGGGGCGCCATGAGATCGGGGCAGAGATCATGGCGCTGGCCATGATATTTGCCCCCGAAGTAGTCATCGCCCCCCTCTTCCTGGTCGCCCCTGATAGATGGGGTCGTGAGATTGCTCCGCATTGACGAAATATCGGCGATGCATCGGCGATGCATCCCCAGACATGCCCGCGTCGTGAAACACACACGGGGGATCCTTGGCAATTTTCGGCCGCCCTGGAGCCCTCGCTGGGCCACGAAACCGTCCAAAAACGGCTCGGGATGAAACGCTGGCCAACGGGAGGTGATCGGGAAATCTAGGGGGCCCGTATTGACAAAACTCAGGACATCCCATGTCCGAGTCGGGGCGACGTCGGCGCGGAAAAAAATGATTCCACATCGAGCCACATCGTCGACGCATCGGCGATGCGGCGCGATCGTCCGACCACCTCTGCTCGTGGAGAACCCCAAAAGTACTGGCACCTACTCCCCGAACCTCTCCCCGGATGCGGTTTGACCAGAACTTCGAAGCGTTTCGAACGGTGGCGACGAGGGCCTCCCACGTATTAGAAGAGCACACAAAGCCATAAGTATAAACGTTTGGCGGTCCGCGCGAATTTCGTGGATCTGCGGTGGACCCCCGTCCCTGGCGCGCGGAGCGCGCAGGGGGCGGCGCCAAAGGCGCCGCCAGGGGGTGCCCGGCGCGGAACCAAAAAACCCGCGCGGAGCGCCAAAAGTTCATGTTCATGGCATTGTTGTTTCTTCGGGGTATGGTTTTGTTCGTTTTCGAAGCTTCTGTTGCAATTCTGACGTTGTTACTTTATTCTTGGCGTGCTTTCCTTCTCTGAGCGCATCGGCGATGCGGCGCGATCGGCCGACCCCCGCAGTTCGGACCCATTTGCGGACGCCGGGGCCTCAGCACCTCGAGCGTGCCAGCCAGCCCTGGGGCGAGCAGCACGCCCGGAGCCTGCTGCCGCTGCACGGCCAGCCAGCGCATCCACCAGATCGCGGCCTCGCGAGGGGAGCAACAGTTGATGGACCTGTTTTCTACCACCGCCACCATAAGTTGGAGGGGGGAAAAAGGGGAGGGCGAGGACAGGACAGGACATCAGCATAAAAAGGGGTCAACGCTGAAACGCCCGCAAAAGGAGCTGCGGGGCACGACTTGCCAACCCCCTGCGGTTTTAGTATGCCGCGCACCCACGTTTCTCACGGGGCAGGCAGGGGGCAGACACCGAAGCTCAAGGGGCGAGTTCCGAGGTGGCCCCGTTAAGAAAAGTTCGTTGATTAAGACGAGTCCCGAAGAGTCAGCGCGAGGGGAACAGCTGCTTGCCTGTTCGCGTGCCCACTCCTTGAGGGACGCGCTGGCGCACAGGGTTCCCAAGTGCGGGGATTATTCGAACCCCTCTTTATTATGTGAGCCAGAGCTCATGCATTCCCAAGAATCCCCCCCCTCCCCCTCCACAGAAGCTCCAGCACTCCGAAATGTCCTCGCTAGTGCTCTCTGCCCCCCCTACGCCGAGACCGATGTTCCCCGCGCCAAACGCGTTCAGATTACGTTTCCCGCGCCAAGCGCGCTTGGAAATGCTCGACCTCTGCTCTTTCCGTCCTCTGCAAGTTCACACTTTCTACACCAGAAAATCAGGGGACGCATGCGGCACATGCAGAAAATGGACCAAGGACGAGAGACTGGTACACGAGAGGCAAAACTCGCTCAGCTGATCCTCTGCGCGTTCCCATTTTGGAAGAGCTTAATCTTCACGGGGTAGCAGTTGTAATGTGTCTCCCACGCTGGCAATAACTCCAATACTTTCCCATTCCGAAAGGGCGAATTCCATTTCTGGCAGGTGCCGCTGGAAGCCAATTGGCGCCGTAATTCATCCGCAAGAGAACAAGAAGACAATGGCCGATACTGTTCAAGATAATGTCTTAGATGCCGTCCGAAGTTCGTCCGTTGCGCTTTCGTGTCCTCTCTTGGATGACAAATCCTTCAACAACTGTGTCTTCAACCACTTTGAGGTCAGAGGGAGCCCAGGTTGGGAAATGTTGCCGGCCCCTTTGCCTCAATTTCCTACTCCTTCTCCACCTCCTCCGCACCTGCACAGTCCCTTGTGAAGCAAGCAGTTCTAGTACTTCAGCAAATTCTCCAGTGGACATCCCCCCTTCCGTGCACAGTGTTTGCAAAACGCTTTTCGTGACTCCTTCGTGAGTGCCTGTATAACTGAAGAGGAGGAGGAGGACGAGGAGGAGGAGGAGGAGGAAGAACGGGAGGAGGAGGACGAGGAAGAGGAGGACAAGGAGGAGGAGGACAAGGAGGAGGAGGACCCCCTCCTCCTCCAACTTATGGTGGTGGTGGTGGAAAACAGGCCCATCAACAGTAGAGGGGCCCAAGGACCCACGAATGAATGAATGGACACAAATCCTAGGAGCCCCCATAGTTTCCCATCTCCACTTCCCCATAGTTTCCCATCGTTTCCTGGGGATCGGTGGTGAATTGTGCCTGTGCGCTTTCCCCTTCCTGACAACACAGCAAACGGCACGAGCCCAGACACCCTGGGGATCTGGAGGGCCCGAGGGTTGGAGGCGTGCCCGACTGCTTCCTTTGCCTCCTCGTGGACATGGCTGGGCCCGCCTCGAAGCTGTCGTCAGAACGCACCCCAGGACAAGCCAGGGGGGAATCGCCGACCCCTGGACCTACGACTCCTGGCGTGGCGAAAACGACACGAGGAAACGCTTTGGCAGTTTTCGAAGTCGGGGTCTCAACAAATGCCCAAAAAACAAAATCACAAAAAGAATCGCCCCCATAGTATTTGTTGACTGCTTCTAAATACTCCTCCTGTAGGGGGACAAACCCGACTTAAGCCAAACCCGCTCAGAATCTGTCCCTGGACCCCTCCTGGGCTCCATGTGGTGATTGCCCGGATCCGTTTCCTGGGGCCCGCCACCGGCCCCCTGGTGGCCAACAAAAAGGCAGCAAAAGACCTTCCCGAACCCACAGCATCGAACCTGCCCGCCCTTCCTGCTGGCATTAGGTCGGGCATGCCCCCTAGAGACAGATTTTGGGCGAAAAACTGAAGATACATAGAAAATGATCCAAAAGTAAGCCAAACAGACTCAAAAAATCGTTCCCATACGATTTTGTTTACTATTTTTGTTTGACTATTCCTCGTGTGCAGGGACGTGCCCGACTTAAACCCACAGCCTCGAACCTGCCCGCCCTTCCTGCTGGCAAGAGCCAGTGCTTGGCCGCCTCAGACCCCAGGACGGGTGAGGCCCTCTCAAAGGCCACGCACGCCCAGGGATGACAGAAGACCGCTTGGGCACCCTCACTCCGAGGGTGACTGGAGTCGTCTTCTCGGGCCGCTCGTCCTCTTCTCCTCCCCAGACCCCGACGTCATGATTTGTTCCTAACGTCGACACCAAGGGTCATGACCCATTCCCCGGGACCGGCTTGTCATCCCGGATATTTTGTTGACGCTTCCGAGGCCCAGCAAAGGCCTCCAGAGGCCAAAGGTAGGCGAAAACATGGCGTCGTGATTTTTCACGACTCGAGGGGATCAGGGTATGATGCTTGGGGCCGTTCTCTCGCATCGCTTTGCGAGGCGGGGATTTATCCATACCAACCGCCTGGGAACCGACGTCCTGGGGCCCCGAGCGCCAGCGGGCGGTGGACATGGATATGTAGAATTGGGAACCGCGAGGCCCGAGCATGTCCACACCCGCCGCGATCCCCCAGGCGGTGGTTATGGATGAATCCGCACCTCGGCCGCTCGACTCTTAGCGGGCCCTGGAAACGACACGGCCGTTTTTGTTACCGGTTCCGTTCTGCCGTTTTTTTGCCAGTTCCGACGCCGTTTGTTTACCGGTTCCGTCGCCGTTTTTTGACCGGGTCCGGCTCCGGTTCCAATCCTGGAGCCGATTTTTTGCCGTTTCCGGTCGCCGCTTTTTTGCCGCTTCCATTTGCAAGGGACATCTTTTTGGAAACGGAAAAAAAACGGCCCTGCCGTTTCCAGGGCCCAGAAAGGCTTGACTTCTGTTCCTCGCCGCCTCCGGGTGCGCCGCGCCCTCGCCGGCGCCGCCGCCCAGCGCCTCCTGCGGCCGCGCGGCCGCCAGCGCCGGCGCCTGCAGCACGCCGTCCAGGCAGCCGAGGCCCTCGGCGCCTGGCGCGGGCGACCACAGCCTGGAGGGCTCCTGTATACCGAGGCTCTGCTCAGACGACGACGACGACGACGACGACGACGACGACGACGACGACGACGACGACGACCTCGACGACGACGACGACGACGACGACGACGTGGACGACGACGACGACGTGGACGACGACGACGACGACGACGACGACGACGAGGACGACGACGACGACGACGACGGCGACGACGACAGCGAGCGCCTCCTGGCCCAGCGGCCGCCGCACCGAGGGGGTGTTATTGGCAGGGGGCACACGTCGACTGGACACAGCAGTGAACCCAGTTACGGACGGTAGGCGTCGGCGCGCGCAAATTTTTCGTACCCGCGTCGATCGTTCAGCCTTGAATCGATCGCGGCCCCGATCGTTCGGGCGGCTGGTAATGGGGGGTGACACAACTGAGGAGTGATCTTCACCCCCCCCAATTGGGTCACCCCCCATGACCACCCGCCCGAGATCGTTCCAAGTTGAATTCAGTCCGGTCCTGTGGCGCAAACCCGTACCCTTCAGTGCTTCCGTGTATACGTCTGCCATGCTGAACTCAACCTCGAACGCCTTCGCCGGCGTCGCCGACGCGCCATCGTCGCACGAACCTATCGTAGCCCAAATCCCCTCGAGGCATGAACAAATCACGACCGTCAAATTTTCGCTGCTTACGGCCTCTGTCGGGCCCCCGGAGCGACAAAACACAACCCGGGATGACAGTGGGCTCGAAGCCTCTGAGGGTCGACGTTATGAGAAAAATCATGACGTCAGGGGTTGGGGGCCTGGGGACTCTCTGGGACGCTCTGAGGTAGACACCGAGGTTGTCTCTCAGTGGCTTTCAACTTATTTCTGGGGGGAGGGGGGTGGAACATTCGGGGGCCCAGCAGCGAGAACTGTTGGGCCGGGTGGGGCACGTCGGAGCGGGAGCGCTGCGACCGCCCCAGTGCGCCTGCGAGCAGCAGCATGCGGAGAAGCGGGTGGGGGCTGGGGGGGAGGCGAGAATGAGGAGGCCCTCTCCAAGGGCCGCGGGGCTTCTCAGAAGCCCGCGGGCCCTGTCGGAGGTGTCCTGTGTCTTCGGGGA